CCCCCCCCCCCCCCCCCCCACCTCCTACAGGAACCTTGGTCGGGTCGCTGCGAAATGGCAGTTCACACGTTTTTCAGTCCCCTGGGAATGATGACCAGGTGTAAATTTGGCAGCAATCAGAAACGTTTCATCGTAAATGACGAATTCCTGGCTGTTTAGATGCGTCTTTTTCACAGATGTAATAAAATCCCAAACAGAGCTTAATGATAATTTGAACAGGTTGCTACCTGGTTGCTTTTGCACGCTTTTTGAACACAAACTGTCAAATTTATTATTAGAGCAAACCCAGAGATATTAAAAATTCAAATAAAATTTAGCTGTTTATATTACACAGCTTCTAGCCTTTTTACTGTGATGTCCACAGGTGCGAGTTAAGCTACAGTCTGTTCGGTTTGAACTCTTTGCCGATACTGAGGTACCGAACTGAGTTACTACTTGTACATCGTGGTCGATAAGTGGATAATTACTTTACAAAGAATATTTTGTCTTTTGAAGATGCACTTCCATCCATCTTTCTCAGCATAAAGTCGCTATATCTGAAATGTAGTGTTTTACCGACTTGAAACTTGTCTGAAGCTTTCCTACTTGCTTTCGGAAATTGTGGCTCACTAGGCTCTGTTAGTTCTCTGTTCTTTGGAGTAGCTTTCTTGGCATCATTTTTCGTAGTTTTTAACTTGATAAGAGGAAGTTTCACGGTGTCACTTACAAACATGTCAGTGTACTTTTTCCTTGCCGAAGGTTTGGCGTTAGGATCTCTGCAAACAAGTGGTCTGTATTTATGCACGTCAATTTCTGGCAGTTTGAAGCGAAAGTTCGCCTTCTTGTAAATACTGTAATTATCAACTTCGTGTACAGTTGTCAAATTGTCCGCGAAGTAAACTTTTGATTTGTTAAAATCCGGTTTGTCTCTGTTCCGAAAATAAGTTGAGGTTCGGCTATATTTTGACTTCATCGCACCGTTACGAAGTGTCCAGTTAAACAATGCTTGTGAACTCATCCCGCCATCTTCTCCGTACAAGCTTGTTGTCAGTTCTAGTTCGGATAGCAACCAACTTCACAATGACAAAATTATGGTCTTTTGATTCCAGTTTTGCTGAACTGAACACCACGCACGAAATCCCATCAGTTTATCACTTGGATAGCCGACCTCGAAAACCTGCTTGAGTACAAAGCAACACGGAATTTTGGTCATAAGCACAGCCAACACAACATCAAAGTAGAGAGTGTAAGAGCTCTTCGGATCCCTTCTGGCTTTATCACCTTGAACAATAGCGCTAAGTATGGATCCTTTCACGTTTTTTCCAAAGCAACCAAACCTCATGGGAAGGTTTCAATTGTTTACCTCTTCTTCGCGAATTGATTTATAAACAACCTTCGCCGTTCTTTTTTGTTGTAAAAAGACCTTTGAAACGTCAACTGCGGTGATACTTGTTTGTAAGAAATTACATATGACGGTAAAGTTTGTTTTGTGTTTGGTTTAACATGAAATACCGCAAGTGGAATAGGGAAGGACGAGTTAAGACACAGATTTTATTATCCTTACATTAATTACAAAATGCAAATAGTCCTTACGCAACTGAAATACTCCAGTGCCTTGTCTTTTGTCAAGTCAGGACACTGTTTTCCATAGCGGAAGCCTTAAATCTCTTTAACAATAAAGTAATTAAATTGTCCTTGACTTGTATTTGCTAATTTTAATGCTATTTTCGCAAACAATCCACCAGGTTGCAAGATTCTACAAAATAACAATGAATTGTTTTATGAAAAGACAGCAGGGTCACTGAATAACGATGGGCCAATTTGCTTCCAGCATTCAAACGTTTTAGCATATTGTCTGAAAGTTGAAAAACAAGAAAGAAATAACATGCAGCTGTCGGTAACGAAAAGGACTGTTTTGAATATCACGGAAAATTAAATTACGTTGTGAAGACACTTTACTGAATCCCTGGTCTATTTTGCAGAGGGAACAACTTTCTCTTTCTCGTCAAGGGGCCCACTAGCCACTATAAAAAATCAACAATGTTTTTTGTTTACTCTTGGTAAGGGTTATCTTTACATGATTGGCCAAATGACTCAATTACCCACTGAAGCAGCTAAACAGTTTCAGTTTAAGCCAAGTTTTTATTTTTTTTACAATATGTATTCAGGGACATCCAATTTAGCACAGTAAATGGAACCCTGATACAACATAAATTTGACAAAAATAGAGACAACATGAAAGTACTATATATGAGTCACAGTAAACGTATGCTGCAAAGTAAGGAGATTTTGGATGCCGGATCTGAGGTAGCCATGTCATTTCGTTATTGAGATGGCATACAAAAGCTTCGCTTTCGGCTCGAGTTGTACCAGCCATCCGAGAGAGCAAGATCAGGGTATGGAAGTTCTTTTATGAACCCTACGTCATAAGTTAATCTTTACGCTCTGAGGAATAAATATTTCTTTGGGAAGGATATTAACGCGCGAGAATCTCTGCTACTAGATACGAAGTGCTAATTACTGAAGAACAATCGGACCGAGTGGAGTACAATTCATAATGGTAATAGGACTGAGTGGAGTCCAATTCGGTCTGTAATCATGCGAGTGATTAACAAAATCGCACAAGCGCGAAGCGGGAGTCCGATTTGTTAATCACGAGTATGATTACAGACTGAATTGGACGACACGATGTCCTGTTACCAATTAATCAAAACTATGACAAAATTCGAGAAACGAACAAACCATCGATTGATCGCTGAACGATTAAACGTCGTTATGAATGCTGAAAAACACAGCAGTTTACTCAACAAAGTGTACCGCAACAGCGCGCGCAAAATGACGCGTACTGTCCAATTACAAGCATGACGCGTACACTGTCTAATTAATGTTCAAATCGGGCTGCTGATAGCCAATCACGTTCGAGAATTTTGTTATAGTTTTGGTTAAGGGAGTAATCAGGCGAGTAATTTTAAAATCGGACGAGCGTGAAGCGCGAGGTCGATTTGAAATTACGAAATTAAATGTCTTTTGAGAACTTCGTTGAGCGAAAAAGTCAGAAGCACTTTTCGAAAGTTTTAAAAACTGTAGAAAACACTGACGAAGCCATTAAAGAGCGCGTAATTGACGTGCAAATGGTGTAGGTATTCAATTACAGGTATCTAAATACAAAAAGTTGTAATCGGAAACCTGTAATTGGACACCCACGTGATCACGCATCGATTACGTGATCAATCATCTTCCAGAATTTTGTCATAGCTACGATTATGAACGAAACCAGAAATAAATGTTCTCCAGGAGCTTATGCCGATGTTCTCTGATTGGTTCAATTTCATTTTCCGTAAAAGAGACATGCGACCGAACCAAAGTAGGTCTGAACCCATACAAATGTTGTCATCCTGAGTCCGGCGACCGACACTGGTCCCACATGTAAGCGCTGAAATACCTTCAGTAAACCAGGGCTCCTGGGCATGCCTAAATATGCTGTACACACGAGAAGACGTAACCGGAGATTTGATCTTCGTTTACAAAGTTATCAACTTTGGATAGCGTTAAAGAAAACTTAGCAAACACCCACACATTTTGATCATCAAAATAAACGAGTTTCCTTCTTTTTCTTGCATGTAATAGAAGTCATTTACTCCGAGTTTCTATCAAGTTTTCGTATAAATCTACTACCGGTTCTATCACGAATGCCGTTCTCCGATTGGCTACGCTACTATCTATTCTTTAGTAGATAGTGAGTAGCCTAGTAGTGTGCGGTTGTTAACCAAATGCTGGCCGCTTATTTGCTTTTTCCTAATGTCTATGAAGAGGATTGCTAACGAGTAGTAGAATTACATAGCCAATCTCGTTCCCAGAGCCTACGTGTCTTTTGGTCAGCGTCTTGGCGCTGACCAAAAGACACGTGGGCTCTGGGAACGAGATTGTTACTGATAGGAATACATCATATCGTGAATCAATAAATATGTTGTTGTTGTTGTTTATTTTCAGTACCGTGATGCAAACATAACTTGTGCTGCTAACAGGATACCGTTTATAATTGTAGCATTAAAATACGAAATATTAATACTTTTATTACATTTACAGCAAACCATAATGACATTGAGTAATTTTACTTAGTTTATGAATCTTATTTATTTACACCTCTCTGCTACGAAGAGACTTTTAAATGTGAATGGGAACCATGCCAATTTTATTTGTAAATTAGTAATTAGTCAGACTTAATTGTCTCGATGCCAGAATTTCCTTATAAATAGCGTTCAGCGCTTTACAAATTAAGTCAATCCCCGACGGATGTTGTAGAACACCCCAGGGGTTTAGATCTCCCAACCACCTGGGTAAATCTTGGTCTCTTCTTCAATTTCTCTTCTGAGCTTAGGTATTTTTGAGCATCGGGCGACCTACAAAATAAAACATAACATTCCGATGAATTAAATTTGTGGGTAACAACGTACACAATAATAGGGAACTTGAGCACGCGCGTTTTTGAGAGGTGGACGGCAACCGGAAGAGAAGATTTCGCTTGCTAGGACCGATGGTCTCCCAGATTTTTGATACTACTCATTTCTAATGAAGAAAAGATACTTAGCAATGTGAATATGGTTGTGTGAGGACAAGTTAAAAGTGAAAGTAGCTCACTTCCGGCTACCGTCCGTGTCTAAAAAACGCGCGTGCTTAAGTTCCCTCAAGCAAATACGTAACTACTGTTCAAAATCGCCCTGTACACTGTGAATAAGTTTACGCATAAGAAACATACGCAGACGTAGAAAGGTGCTGTTTAAACATGCTAAACGAAGTGCCTTTTGTTTGGTTTCAAACAAAGGGCGCTAATTATCAACATCTTACCGCCTGTAACACCTTAACCTTTTTTTCCAGTCCTTAATTCCTCTTGTAACGGTATACAAATGGATAACCATTGTATTTCCCTTGCAGATTGTGAAAAATGCAGCTTCCCTCGCTATTTTACGTCAATCATATTTACTGGTCAATGACGGTAAATTTACTATCTATCTATCTACTTACATCTTCACACGGCTGATGGCATCTGCCATTTCTTTAGTCCTCTTATGATTATTTCCTAGTGTGGAACTCAACATGTTATAGCCCTAAAGAGTGAACAAAAGCATTTCTAAATCTCACATTAACATGAAAAACCGACTTGGAAAAGAAAAGTTTTAACATAAGACACACGGGTTCTCAAAAGGTATGTCATTAGCTGCCTTCACAACAAGGCATTTGAGGAAACTTTCAAAAGATTCAAACCTAGGGATCACGGGAAACTTTATGAGTTATGGTCTCGTTGATTATTCAGCATCAGAATGGCTACACTGATCCACCAATGGAAACTGAAGTATGAAAATGTATTAGATGCAAAAGACATCTGCTGGGGAAACAGGTGGTCACAAACTTTTCAATAAGAATTATAATTCCCAGAATCCCACTCCATTGAAAACCCTGATGTTAGCCTTAGTAATGAACAACAATGCAGCCAAACATGGTGTAATGAATTACCTTGGTCAGCCATTTCAAAGCTTGTTGTGTACGTCCTTGTTTAAGTCTAATGCTTCCCAGCATCTGATATGAAGCAGCCGCCGGCTCACTTGGGTCACCATACAACACTACTTTAGCTTCTGCCACTGATCTCTGAAGGGACACAGCGTCTTCAAGACCACCATCACGGACTAACAGACGGCTCAATTCATCCTGAGTGGGTTGAGAATTAGGAAACAATTTATTTCATATTTAATATATAATTATGTTATTTCTTTATTATTTCTTTGCCATTCAAGAAAAACATATATGATTGCATTTGTGAAAACCGTGTCAATGAAAAATGCGTTCCTTTGCACAAAATGACCTACAAAAACTTGGAGTACGTGCATTTAAGTTACTTGGTGCAAATGAATCCTAGCGAAAAAAAGAGCAGGGAAGGGAAGATTAGAGAGTGGAGGAAAAAAAAGACTGTATATGATATGCTTCTGATTTGGGTTAATACATATATCACGTATAGATTCCAAAGACAAATTGGGTTTTGGGAGGGCCACGAGTTTATCAGTCAATGACTGTAAAGTGTTTTTACCCTCATTAAATAAAGTTACTTACTTACTTACTTACTTTCCTGGGTTTTTTAACCGATCTATTCAACAATTTAAAAGCTCTCTCTATCCCCTGTAATAGTAAACACTGATGGCAGGACACTAAGGTTAGAGTTTCAATAATAATAGAGTAAAGTTCTGGTAAACAAACCTGAGCCTTGATAGTTGAGTTGTGGTAAGGTCCTTTGTGTTTCATGTATAAAGTAATGGCATCTTCAAGGTATTTCTTTGCTTTGTGACCATTGTCATTGTCAGTGATGTAACCAGAGGCCACAACAAATGAAGAGTCAGCAACTTCCACTGAATCTTCTCCAAATCTGCCACACAAAATAAAATAAATTGCGAAAATTAGAGAGGAAGCCACATGCTGCTTTTCATGTGGGTCCTCCATCCTGGTCGAAAAATAAAAACTAGTGAGACAATCTCAGATAGTGCAGAGTGTAATTACGGCTCTGATGCAGTAGTCACATATGTCCTTACCCATGCCGATCTCTCCCTTGGTAGTCAACTAGACCTTTTCCCCTTGCAGAATATGAGCAGACAAAAACTTGATAAGACGTAATCTTAGCATTGTATAAGTTTCATGTTTGTATTTTCTTTCAAGGCCCAAAAATAACTTACAATTACCGTTTGTCAAGACGGCTTTGAATTTTATTGTGATGCTTTACGCTGAGTTTCAGTCATTTTAAATTCAATAATATGCAGAAGTGGCAAATATGACAATTCTATTTTTCACTCCAACGTATGTAACTTGATACTTTTGTTTTCCTCGCCGAGCTATGTAACATGATACCCTTGTTTCTTCAATAATAATAATAATAATAATAATAATAATAATTAATATTTCTAAGGCGCAAATTAACATGTGAATATGATCAAATGCGCCTAACAAACCATATGAGTAATATAAATTAAACGATGTGCTATGAATAGTGTGATAAATTTAAAACTAAAAATATAAGAAGGATGTGTATTTTTTTACTTACTGCTGGAGATAAATGGAATAACGCTAAATATCTCATGAAAAATCGAAGAGGGACGATTTCGTTTTACTCCAAACGGAAATTTTCATTTCACAGAAAAACAAGAACTAATCTAATTATCAAGTAGTCACGTCCAGTCACGGAATAGTTCGTTCTTATTCACGTCAAACTAAAATACAATGCTATCGATTAATACAACAGAGGAGCAGACTAGGGGCGTTTCAACGAGTAGTATTGAAGGTAGAGACCGAAATTATATTCTACATCGGTGAGAGAGTCACCTCAGAGACTGATGATATTAATTGGCGGTTTCATTAAGTGCCACGGAGTCTGCGGCAATATTTGCGAAGTTCTTGTGTCACAAATTTATTAGTTTTACATGTAACTAACGCGGGAAAGTTTCGGCTGAATATAAACTTTTTGCTCCCTTCATAGAAGTTGAAATAGACAAGCCGCTAGGCAGAAGCATTCTTTATTTGAACCCTGGCAAACACGCAATACATAAAACAGCTGACGACATTTCTTGAATCGAGCTAAGGGTGATTCCAGATGATACGCAGTCACAGTAGCGTTATTTACACTAGAAAAGGGAGAACTGACGTTACCTGAAATACAGCTGCTGTCCCTGGTCAAAATAGTTCAGTTCTGGCCCTCTCTCTGTCAAGCAACGCTACAGTGGCGTTGCGTGACAGAGAGAGGGCCAGAACTAGACACTGAAGGCTAAGTTATCTGCGCATGCGTTTCAAGAAAATTGATTTTGTTCTTAAGAGAATAGCACCACTAGGATAGCAAGAGATTTGCGAAAACATATATAGGTTTGTGACGTTATCACAAAGTAACGTAAGTATGATACGTTTTACATAGTAAACAGAGGTACCTACCCCACCTCCTTATCACAATGTTAATTAATTAACTGAAATTAATTAATTAAACAAACATTAAAGTTTACACCTCATTGTGTTAGTAGCTTAGCAAACAGCAGCCCCCTAAACCATCCCAATAGTGCACTCTGCACTAATGACCCCCATTACATTAGAAACTACAATGGTGGACAAAATTCCTTGGGACACTTGCATCATTGCATGAATTATCTGTTCTTTAAAAACGGAGTTTGAAAAAGCACTTTTATCCTTTTCAAAATTCGTTTCTGCCCCCC